AAGGGTTTTGTCTTCAGATCTGGAAATGGTCCTGGCTTCCTGGCCTCATGTCTGGTTTATGAGCTCTACCACGAGGTTTCCTGGGCCTGGACAAGAGCACTGGATTTGGCCTGTTGGAATGAAGACCAGCTGATGAATAGTCGTGGGACACTCTCTGCAGGGTGTCCTGGGACTTGGGGGCAGCCGAGCTCTGTAACCCCAGAAGCAGGCCGGACTGGGGAGGGGAAACATGGCTAGGGGCAGAGATCAGACTTTGTGTGATGAAGCACATCTCCCAGAGAGCTTTCTCATGGTGGCATGTAGCGGCCTGGGAGAGATGGAGTGAGTTCCCTGTCATGGGAAGTATGCAGATAGAGGCCAGACAAGTCCTGTCAAAGAGGCTTCAGGGAGCCTCCTTCTCGAAGGGCTGGGGAGAGCTCTGGGTCAAATTCTCTTAAGGCCCCTCTGGCCCTGAGAGTCCAGAACTCAGAGCTCTGTCATAGACCCCTAGGCTCTGGGGCCCAGTTGGGTCTCCTCTCTCTGCCAGGTGGACTTAGGTGCTGGTGATGGTCAGAGCAGGAGCAAGGCAAGGGAGCTGCCTTTCATGGGAGGTAAGAGGTTCTCTGAGGCTTTCCGCACACCCAGACCTTACCTGTGAGAGCTGTGACAAAGCTGCCTACCTTTGGGACCTTAGGGTCTGTGTCTGAAATGGGCAGGATAACAACCCACAGTTGAACCCTCAGGCAGTGGTGGCGGTCTGCCCTTCCTGAGAGCTGGGGTCTAGGGGACCCAGGTAGGTGCAGAGGTGCTACTCCTGCAGCCATTACCTTCATTACCCCTGACAAGTCTTCCCTGTCATCAACCAAGACAAAGATTTTTTTTTTTTTTTAATCGAGCCAGCACCAAGGACAGAGCCCTGTGGCTCATTTTTACAGACTAGGCTCACTCCTTCAACATTTCCCAGTGCCACTTGGGAGCTGGAGCCTGTACTGGTCTTTGGGACCCCAAAGGCAAAGCAGACTTTGTCCCCAACTCCTAACAAAGTTAGAGAAGGGAGGGAGTCTGGCTGACACTGACTCTCAGGCTGGTCTTTTCTGCCCTGACTCTTGGCCCCCAATTCTGTGTCCTATCTCAGGCCACTGTATTCCTGAGTGGCAGGGTGGCATGGTAGGTTTACTGTGCACCTTGGGCAAGTTCCTAATCTCTCTGGCCTCAGTTTTCACACAGAGGAATATTGCCTCTCTTCCTGAGACAGACTTTATCAACATTCAGTTCTGTGTCCTTGTCCCGGCTTGCCATGACTCACTGCGTCACCTTAGGCAAGCCACCAGCTTTCTCTAAGCCTGTTTCTTCATCTGCAAATGGGGATAAGACACTCCACCACGCAGGGCTGTAGTAAAAGCAAATGAGATCTTGCAGCAAAAGCACTTAGCTCGGTGGCCAAGAAACTACACAGCTACGGTGAAATAGCTCAGGAAATTGAGGCTTGGGGAGGTGCAGTGAACTTCTCAGGGTCCCACAGCAGGTGCGTGATAAATCCAGGACTGGAAGCTGGATTTCCAGCTTTCCAGGCTCCTGCCCAGCAGCTACTGAGATGACACAGTGGTTACTCTGGTTGCTGCAGGAAGAGGGGCTCCCCTCAGGGGAAATGAATTGGGGGGCCTCCCTGGCAGCCCCATGGGGATCAGGCCTGACCTGAGAGTCCCTCAGTCCCCATCAGCCCCTCTGCTGGTGGCCTCCAGGTACGTGGCTAGTTCCAGCCTCCCCTGAAGGGATGGTAGGGTTCCAGGGATGACCCTGTGGACATGTGATGTGGAAGAGGAGAGGAGACACCTGGAGGGAGCAGGTGCAGGTCTATAGGCAGGACTCCCGATTTTAAGTTACAGAATCCTAGGTCAAATGGACTGCAGCAACAAGGGAATTTATCAGCTCATGCCATCAGAAAGTCCAGTGGAAGATAAAGCTTTAGGCGTAAGTGGAACCAGGCACTCAGTGGTATTCTTGCAAACCTGTATATTCTCATTTCCCATCCCTTGGCTTTATTTTGCACAGTTTCCTTCCTGGTGGTAGTATCAACCATGCATAGGACAAAGATAGCAGGAAGGGAAGATTGAAGGGGGGGAAATCGGAGGGGGAGACGAACCATGGGAGACGATGGACTCTGAAAAACAAACTGAGGGTTCTAGAGGGGAAGGGGGTGGGGGGATGGGTTAGCCTGGTGAGGGGTATTAAAGAGGGCACGTTCTGCGTGGAGCACTGGGGGTTATGCACAAACAATGAATCATGGAACACTACATCCAAAACGAATGATGTAATGTATGGTGATTAACATAACAATAAAAATTTTAAAAAAACCAATGCATAGGACAGTAGCTGGTATATAGTTCACTTGGCTCTAGAAGCTCCAGGCTCACTTCCTACCAGCTTTGCAAACCCCGTGGAAAACCGGCCTCCTCCCCAGTGTTCCAGCAAAATCTCCAAAATGTACTCTGAGGCACCCCGCGAAGGTCACCCATCCACCCCTGAGCCAGTTACAGGGCCTGAGGAGCCCACTGTTCTCTCATGGGCAGGCCGAGGTCACAGATTGTCAAGACTTGAGGAGGGGAAGGGGGGACCCCCCCAGGGAAAAACAGGAGGCAGGCCAGCATCATGAGAGGTAGTCTGGGAATTGGGTGGAAGGAACCGCGGAGAACAGTGACTGCCTGCAGGACAGGCCAGATAGCTGGACCTGGGCCCTCTCTTCCCCAGGGGACTGGAGCCTGGTTATCTGGGAGGATGGGTGGGTCCTGAAGTCACCAATAGAGGCTGTCAGCCAGCTAGACTCCTTACAGGTAAACAGCAGGTTCTTGCATGAAGGGGAATCCAAGCAGCATACCTCTTCAGCAGGGGGGGGGGGGGAACGGGGGGGGTAAAAAATTTCAAAAACGGGGTCCAGGCAAGAAACAGAGACCCTCTCATGAGGGACCCCTGCTCCAGCGAAGAGGAAGGTGCTGGGATCTTGCAGAGCCCTGGGCAGGAGGTGCGGCAGCCCATGGGCATGGACTTGGAAAGCCGACACCATGGACTCTCCTTCTGTCAGGGCCTGCCCCATCCCTGGGACACTCCGGGCCCCTGTTCTCTCTCCAACAATCCCCCAGCCCCGAGGCTGCCCTGGGCCTTCTCAGCCCTGTGCCCACCTGGAGCCACCATGGTCACTGACCTCTTCACTAACCTTCCTGAGACAGAACCTCTTGCTAACTTTGCCAAGCCTCAGCTTCCTCATCTGTGAAGCAGAGGTGGAAACTGTGAAGAGTAAACGAAGTGGGGCATTTTGCACAGTGATGGCGTGAGGTCAGCGCCCAATATGAACATCTGCCCAGCCTGCGGTGGGGATTCCATGAGCTCGGCTGACGGGCCTGGTGCACAGCCGGGGTGCAGGAGACACAGGCTCCCTCTGTTCTCAGCCTGTAGGGGCCAGAGAGAAATGGAAGGAAGCAGCCTCAACTCCCAAATTCCCCAAAGCTACAGCTTCTCCTTCCTTACACTCGAAATGGCTGTTTCAGTTCCAGCTTTAATTCCTGTTGAGTAGGAGGTAAGAAAGGGAAGTCCAAAAAGAGAAGAGAAATCAAGTTTTCTGCGCCCCCCTCGCCCCCCGTGCCCATCTCCTACCAGATTTGCCTGCTTTCGCAGCTGGCCTGATACCCCAGGGTAGGGGGGAAACCCCAAAATCTTCCAGGAGTGGTGGGCACGGCCCCCTGCCCACTGTCCTCTTGGCGCCCGGGGGCACTGGCGTCCGGAACCTGGCCTCGGGCTGGCTTGAGGCGGGCTCCAGGGGCACTCCTGCCCCAGGCTGGCTGCTTCTGGGTCGGGACTTGGTTGGTGACTATAGCAGAGGGCATAATAACCCTAGAAGGCAGGGGCCATGACCTGTTTATCATGTGGAGACCCAGGTTCAGAGAGATAGGTGGCCCGCCCCGGGTCACTCAGTAAGTTGGTGATGGATCCCAGTCTGTCTGACTCGCCAGGGGAAGGAAGCTGAGTCTTGACCCCTGTCATCCTGTGCCCTTGCTGCTAAGCTCACAAGCCAGAGGCCAAGCAAGGGGGTTTCCAGGCCGTATTTCCCAGCAGGCAGGCAGGCCAAGGTTAGGAGGCGTCTTCCCACATCCAGCCTGGTCTGGGCTGGTTCCTGGCTGGCTGGCAGACAGTGACTCAGGCTTCCAGCTCCTGCCTCTGGCCTCCTCGTCCCTTCCAGATAGGAGGGCCTGGGAGCAGGGATGGGGCGGGAGTTCCGGAGTCATCTAAAGGGGATCCTGAGACCATAGGATCCAAGCAGCCCAAGGAGGCTCAACCCTTGCCAGTTTTTCCTTACGTCTATCCTGAATTGCATCTGCTGTGGGCACAAACCAATCCCACATGTTGCCTGAATTGTGAAAAGGAAACTGGCAGAGGTTGTCCCTTCTAGGAGTGAGGGACTTCCGTGTTTCTGCCAAGGGTGTACCCGGAATGGAGATGGGTGGTGGATGCCTGGTGTTGGGGCAACACTCCCGGGGCCTCTACCTCAGATGGACAGGGCTTACCACTGGCCCTGTCCCCCTGCCAGTGTCCCCAGTGGCTCCTGTGAGCCACATGGACCAGGTGAGGCTCTAAGAACAGGGCTTGAGCTGATATGGGAATAATGAATAGCAGAAAGGCTGGGGAGTGGGTCAGGAGGAACTGAGGCTGGGAGCCCAGGGCTGAGGTTGCTCAGTGCCAGCCCCAGAGGGGAGGCCTTGGCGATATGCAGACCTGCCGCACAGCCCCCACCCCAGGGCAGCCAGTAAAAGGCTTGAGACCGGCCATCCCAGGCAGTGTGCTGGCACCATCTCATGGCCAGAGGCCCTCAGTGCAGGAAAGACAATCCTCTGGGAATTTCCCACCTCGAACTTCTAAGCATGGATTTCAGGGAAACCATGGATAAGGGATTTGTATTGAAATGTGCCCTGGCTGGGACACCTTGGGAAACTCACTGACCTTTCCTGAGTCTTAACTTTCTTCATCTGTAGAATGGAGAGAACACTCTCGCCCACCACCCGCCTGGAACCGCAGAGAAAACACCCGGCAGAGGAGAGGCTGTTAAGAAATGACACTGGGTGCAGAGGACCCAGAAATTAGCGTGGACTGCCATGGGCGGAAGGAGTCCAAAGTGCGGGCATTTAGGCTGGGCCTGGAATGGATTCATTCAGTTAACAAGAGTGTATTGCGTCTGTACCATGTGCCAGGACACCTCCCCTACACAGTCTCATTTATGTCCTACAACCTCCTAGATGGCAGGTACCACTAGTCATTCTCATTTGAGAATGAGACGTGAGAACTACAGGAAGGATAAGCAGGGATTATTCGGAGAAAGTGGGGGGAAAGCATCCCAGGCAGAGGAAACAGCACACACAGTGGCCTGGGGGCCGGAAAGGCTGGTGGGGAAGGGCTGAAGTTGGACTCTGGAGCCCTGGCAGGCCTGGGAGCAGGGCCAGCCCCCTCAAGCCATGTTCTGAAGGTTTTCAAGGGGCCAACCCCCTCGGGCCTCCCACCAGGCCCCTCTTCACACGACACATCCCATGCTACGCTGTTTTTCATTTCTCACACAGGGGTCAGCTCTTTCCCCACCCGTGTGCTTCTTGCCTAAGATGCCCTCTTCTCTCTTCATTCACCCAAGCCCCCCTGGTCCTTTAAGGCCCAGCAACAGACATGTCTTCTCCAGGAGCCATTCCGGGTCACTTGTCCTAGGTGTACCCATAACCCCCAAGATCTGGGCTCTCTCATCTGGGCCCCACCCAGATAGCAAGAACTCAGACTCAAGCCCTGCCCTGAGGCTGACACCTCCAGGAAGCCCTCAGAGCTGCTACCATACTTGGGACAGACACTGTGATAGGGTTGACCACTGGAGGTTGTCCTGGGAACCCAGCAAAGGACTGGTTGCTGGGCCGACAGCCAGGTCTCCTTGCCCTCCGGGGCTCCAGCACCACTAAAATCAGAACAGGAGGCCACACTTGCAACTGGCACAAGCAACCCCTTAGGACAGACCTGAATAAACGGTAGGTACTCAATCCTTGCACAACTGACCAAGTGTTTACCAGCAGTTCAAACCTGAATTTTCTCAGTTGGACCCAAAGTTTTGGCCCCAACTCAGTTCCCCAATCTCCTTGCCTGTGAAATGGGTTTGGGTGGGAGGTCAGTGCTTACACCCTCCAGGGTAAAAAGGGTCCTCCCTCACTCTGGCAGCTCATGCTCACAACATGCTGGTGGCCAGTATGACCACGTTCTACTAAGGAGGCTCAGAGAGGGGAAGGGGCCTGTGAGTAGGGGCCACACCGTGAGTAGGGGACAAAGTAGAACAAGAACCTGGACTTCAAATGCCCAGGGCAGTGTTCTTTCCCTGTGCGACCCTGTCCCCCCTCCCCTAGTTACCTTAGCTGCTCCCAAACAAAGCCTACCTCTTCCAGGTCACCCCCCTCAAATGCCTGCCTCTACTACTGGAGCTGGCCTCCTCGGGAAAATGAGAAGCCACCTCACTTCCTCTGGCCATCCTAACAGCTGTGAGTCTTGATTTGGGAGTTGGAAAAGGGCTTGGCACCGGCAGGGAGACTCTCACTCAGGTGAGTTGTCAGGGGCATCACCTCTGTCCCCACAACCCATACCCATCACTCCTGGTAGCTCCAGATCTGCCGTGTGGAAGGAGAGAGTGAGTGCTAAATGGAGGTATGTGGGAGGGTCTGAGGGCATAGAGTAGGTGTTCAATAAATGGTTTTGGAGAAAAGGAAGAGAGGGAAGGTGGGAGGGAGAAGGTGACCAAGTAACCGAGTGCTTAAGTGGATTGCCAGATGGAGGGATGGACATGTCAGTGAATGAGCTATTGAACAAATGGAGAAAGGGATGGTTGGGGGAGTGAGTGACTGGAAGGTCGCTCTGGGTGTTACAGCTAAAGGGGGAGCCGAAAGCTCTTTAATCACCAACGTGCCCATTTGACAGATGAGAAGACTGGGAGAGGCCTGAGGAGAAAAGAAGCTGCTGGGTCTGTGGGAGTGGCCTTTGACCAGCAGCCTCTGGTTCTCCCCCCACCTCTCTACCACCTCATCACCCTCTTTCCTCTGCTCCTCTGCTGGGGTGGGGAGGGTTCCAGGAAGGAGACATTTTCTCCGCCTCTTTGCTCCTCTAGGCCCCGGTTTCCGCCAGGCCTTGGTGTTGGGGATGGTAGGGAGGGGGTGGCCCCCGCAGGGGCTATTTCAGTCAGAGACAGCCCTGCCAGGAAACAGAGGAAGCCACCCGCCCCATCGGAGGTGTTGCAGCCTGGGCTGAGGGCAGGAGAGTGGAGAGCCTCACGTCTGGCCTTCCCTTGCGCTAACGCATTTGAGGCCACCAAGGTGCTTCAGGGACAGGAGGCTGCCTGTGAGTGTTGGTACGTCTTGGCACCGTGGGCCAGTATGAGGTGGGCATGGGTGCTGGACACAAAGAACTGTGACTTTGGGCAGGACCTAAAGGAGGTCCGCGGTGTTGGGGCGTGGGGGCAGATAAAGGGACTCCACCCAGCTGGAGGACCAGAAAGGAAGAAGCAAGATTGGATCTGGAGCTGGATGGACATTTACTGTTTTGACAGACAGACGGGGATGAATGGCACTTCGTGTGGAGGGACCTGCAAAGATGGGGAGGCCGGAGAGGAAGTCTAGATCTCTGGCTTTGAATGGTCGTGTGGCAGTGTCGGTGTCTCGGGAACAGTGTGGCAGGACAGGAGGGGGTGGAGGGGTGCAACCAGGGGTGCCTTGGATGAGGCTGGAGGGCTTGGCAGGGGGCTTGACGTCAGGAGCTGGAGCTTCTCCTCAAAGGGCAGAAGGATGCAGGGAAGGATGTCGTCAGAGCCACTTGCTAGAAAGCCCCCCACCATAGTCAGAGTGGCCGGAGCTCAGGAAGACATCGGGGCCTGAGCTGGCCCAGGGCTCAGGGCCCAAGAAAGAGTGATGGCTGTGAGAGCTCGAGGAGCCAGTGCCAGCCACGGAGGCAGGGACCAAGGGAGTCCTCCCTCAGGACCAGTCCGTGCCCTGCCTCGGGCCTCAGAAGGCAGAGTGTATGAGGGAGCCAGGGGGACAGCCAGGCCTTCCTTTCTCCTCGAGTAGCCTCTGCCTCCTTCCAAGAGGACTAGTCTTCCCAGGGAGTGGAGAGCAGAAAATATCTGGAGCTTCCAATCACCTGAGGCAGACAGCTCTCTCTTGGGGTAGTATCTGAGGACAGGAGGCCTCCCAAAAGAGTTCAGAGGCACAGCACTGTTCCTTCTACCCACTTCTTCCTCCTCGCCATGACCACCTGGCTTTGCAGGCTGCTCTCCTCTCAAGCCCTGCCTGTTCTACCTTCCTCCCCACCTGAGGACACCCCTCTCCACCCAGGGATTTCCTTCTCAACCCCCACTGCCCCCTCTGGGTCATGCTCCGTCCTTCATCCTCCTCTGAAAAGTCTCTTCTATCCTGTGGCTCACACTGGTCTCCCCCTTCAGACTAGCATATGTATATGTATAATTTTTATCTATCTATCTGCGCCTGCACGCATCCAGCAGGCAGTAAGTATGCATTTAAATGCCTGGCAGGTGAAAACAGTAGAATGGGGGCGCCTGGGTGGCTCAGTCGTTAAGCGTCTGCTTTGGCTCAGGTCATGATCCCAGGGTCCTGGGATCAAGCCCCGCATCAGGCTCCCTGTGGGGTGGGAAGCCTGCTTCTCCCTCTCCCGCTCCCCCTGCTTGTGTTCCCTCTCTCCCTGTGTCTCTCTCTGTCAAATAAATAAGTAAAATCTTTAAAAAAAATCAAGAAAATGAATGCATACATAAAAGAAAGGTCCAGACAAATAAATGAAGAGATGAGTAAATGAACTTTCTCTGCCTGTACTCATCTTGGCTTCCTGGCTACAATGAGGGGCCTGCCCAAAGCTTCTGCCTCTGACTTCCCTCCATGCCCAACTGACTAGCTGAGCACCCAGCAGTTCTAGCACATGGGCTGAAGCCCCACAAAGGGTTTTTCATAATTAAAGGTAACATGGCACGTGGGATACAGACTAGAGATCCAAACCTCATTTTGCAGGTGCCCAGAATCTGGGAAAAATATTTTCACCAGAATCAAATTTAAAGTTGGAAGAAATTAATCTGGGTAGTTATGTTTTGCTCTAACATAACTTTGAAAAACCTCATAACTTGACTTAGCAGGGTATATTCACATTAAGAACAGCTAACATTTGCCCTGTGCCAGGCACTGATCTTCCTAACAACCCTCTAAAGCAGGTACTATGTGATCCCATTTTATAAATGGGGAAACCAAGGCGTGGAAGTCTAATAATGAGCCTAAGGCCCCACAGTTCACATGTAGCAGAGCTGGGATTTGAACCTGGGCATCTGGACCAGAGCCCATATACTTGGCCTCAACCCTCTATCCTGTTCTGTGTGTATTTGAAGGACTTCATATTTTTTTCTTCGCTTCAGTTTTTCCCATCTATTAATAGGGAGGGGGGTGATCTGACTCACTATCTCAAGGGCTTGGTCTTACAGGTCCATTGGATTTAAGTTGTGAATTCTCTCTGGACACCAGTAAATGTGGACATGCCGGTTGAGAAGTAGGTATCAAGAAGTCAGACTTACTTCACCAGGGAACCCCCAAAGACACTTGTACAGCTGACTGCCCCAAAACCTAAGGGAAGAGTGCAGGGATGAGATGTAGGATACAACAGCATAGCATTGCATTTATTAAGCACTTACTGTATATCAGGTCTATGACACGTTTTACCGATAAGAACACAGACCCAGAAAAGGCAAGTGACATGCCTTGGGTTGAACAACACAGACGCAGGGGTGCCATGATTTGAAAGAGGTTTGCCTCGCTCTGAAGTTGGGCTTATAACCTCTACATTCCATGTCCGTGGACTATACACTAAGTTGCATCCTCTCAATCAGGTGGTTGGGTTCTGGTTCTGGCTCTGTTGTTTTTTTTTTTTTAAGATTTTATTTATTTATTTTACAAGGAGAGACACAGCGAGAGAGGGAACACAAGCAGGGGGAGTGGGAGAGGGAGAAGCAGACTCCCTGCCGAGCAGGGAGCCCGATGTGGGGCTCGATCCCAGGACCCTGGGATCATGACCTGAGCCGAAGGCAGACGCTTAACGACTGAGCCACCCAGGCGCCCTCTGGCTCTGTTTCTAACTCACTCAGTAAGATTGAGCCACCACAGACTCTTGCTGTGCTGTATTTTCCTCTCTATAAAAAAGCAAGCAGTATGGTGCCTAGGTGGCTCAGTTGGTTAAGCGACTGCCTTCGGCTCAGGTCATGATCCTGGAGTCCCGGGATCGAGTCCCACATCAGGCTCCCTGCTCGGCAGGGAGTCTGCTTCTCCCTCTGACCCTCCCCCTCTCATGCTCTCTCTCTGTCTCATTCTTTCTCTCTCAAATAAATAAAATCTTAAAAAAAAAAAAAAAAGCAAGCAAGCAGTAGGGGCGCCTGGCTACTTCAGTCGGTGGAGTGTGCGACTCTTGGTCTCCGGGGGGGGGGGGGGGCGGGCTGTGAGTTCGAGCCCCACCTGGGGTGTAGAGATTACCTAAAAATAAAATCTTAAAAAAAAAAAAGCAAGCCATAGATTTGGCTGGTGCTCAGCCATTGGCCTTCAGGAACGCTGTTCTCACTCTAGCCACCAGGGGGTGCCATGGCCCAGCAGCTAGGCCAGACAGGCATTTGTAGCCTCAAGTCAAGCAGAAGGATGCTTAGGGAACTCCTGAATCACTTTCTCCCCCCATTTTACAGATAAGAAGATTGCAGCCAAAAGAAGGACCATGGTTTTGGAAGGTGGAGTCCAGGCTGAGGAGGTGGGCGCTGTCCTTTGTCAGCTCACGGTGTGTGGACGTTCTGTTCATGTTGATTAATTAAGAATTACCAGGGCCTTCTCTGCCCTGGACCCCAGATCGGGCTCTCAGACACAGAGGGGCATCAGACCTGGCACTTCTCATCAGGAGGTTCCGGTCAGTGTAGGAGAGAAAGACAGGCAGGCTCACCATGACCATAACCTCCAAACTCCAAAAAGCCCAGGGGAAGCCCTGCATAGCTTGATTTAGTACCTCTAATCTCATGTCATCCTAAGAGATGGGTGTATCATCCCCCCATTTTTCAGATAGGAAAATTGAGACTCGGATAAAGTATATCACTGGCCCAAGGTCACATAGCTAGTAGGTAGCACAGGTAGGATTCAAACTAAAGTCTGTCTGGGGCACCTGGCTAGCTTAGAAGGGTGTGTGACTCTTGATCTTGCAGTCATGAGTTCGAGCTCCATGTTGGGTGTAGAGATTACTTAAATAAATAAAACTTTTAAAAAAGTTTTAAAACAAACAAACAAAAAAACCCTGAAGTCTGTCAATCTCTATTTCCAGAGGAGACATTTGACTAGGGTTTTGAAGGAGGAGTAGAAGTTCACCAGGAAGGTTGGTAGGAAATGAATATTATAAAGTGAACTGGATTTTTCCCAAGCTTGAGCTTTATTGTATTCCAGGTTTCCTTAAAGTGAGGGCTGTGTGGGGTGGTGAGTATCAGAGATGGTTCAGGTGGAGATCAGGGCCCAGAGAGGGACAGGGGCCTACTGGATGGTCAGTGAGTGTGATTACTGACAGGTTGTGTGTTGCTTCCCCAGCCTCTCTGGATGTAGGAAGCATAATCGGGCAGCCATGGAGTGGGACAATGGTACAGGCCAGGCCCTGGGCTCCCCACCCACTACCTGCGTCTACCGAGAGAACTTCAAGAGACTGCTCCTGCCACCTGTGTACTCAGTGGTGCTGGCAGCTGGCCTGCCACTGAATGTCTGCGTCATTGCCCACATTTGCACGTCCCGCCGGGCCCTGACCCGCACAGCCGTGTACACCCTGAACCTGGCGCTGGCTGACCTGCTCTATGCCTGCTCCCTGCCCCTGCTCATCTACAACTATGCCCAAGGCGACCACTGGCCCTTTGGTGACCTTGCCTGCCGCCTGGTCCGCTTCCTCTTTTACGCCAACCTACACGGCAGCATCCTCTTCCTCACCTGCATCAGTTTCCAGCGCTACCTGGGCATCTGCTACCCACTGGCCCCCTGGCACAAGCGTGGGGGCCGCCGCGCTGCCTGGCTGGTGTGCGGGGCCGTGTGGCTGGCCGTGATGACCCAGTGCCTGCCCACAGCCGTCTTTGCTGCCACAGGCATCCAGCGTAACCGCACCGTCTGCTACGACCTGAGCCCACCTGCCCTGGCCACCCGCTATCTGCCCTATGGCATGGCCCTCACCGTCATCGGCTTTCTGCTGCCCTTTATCGCCCTGCTGGCCTGCTACTGCCGCCTGGCCCGTCGTCTCTGTCGCCAGGATGGCCCCGTAGGGCCGGTGGCCCGGGAACGCCGTGGCAAGGCGGCCCGCATGGCTCTGGTGGTGGCAGCTGCCTTTGCCATCAGCTTCCTGCCCTTCCATGTCACCAAGACAGCCTACCTGGCAGTGCGCTCCACAGCCGGTGTCCCCTGCCCTGTGCTAGAGGCCTTTGCGGCTGCCTACAAGGGCACGCGGCCCTTTGCCAGTGCCAACAGCGTGCTGGATCCCATTCTCTTCTACTTCACTCAGAAGAAGTTCCGCCGGCGGCCCCAGGAGCTGCTACAGAAGCTCACGGCCAAGTGGCAGCGACAGGGTCACTGAGTCCACTGGGGCAGGACACCTGGGGCCAGGTCACGGGAAACCCCTCCAACCCCAAACCATGCAGAGGATTAGAGCTTAGCTCAGCTGGGCATGGAATGAGGTCCCCCACAGACTCCAGAATCTCACCAATGACTATTTATTGAGCCCTTGCTCTGGACCCAGCCCTGTGGGCACAGAGAGACAGGCTCGGACTTGGCCCTCCAGAAGGCTCCAGTCAGCCCTGGAGAGTCAGGGAAGCCATGTGAAGCTGCTCACAAAAATATAGTATGGCGTGTACTGTAATTGAGGAGTATGATGTATGCTTTGGAGTCACCAATCCAGGGACTGGGAGATGATGGGAAGAGGAAGCGAGAGCTTCTGGAAAGGAGCATTTGAGCTGGATTTTGAGGGGATGAATATGAACTCTCTGGAGGTGTGTGATGTTCCATTCATTCAGCAAACCTTTACCTATACCTTATCCTTGGACCTGGGTTGATTCTGGGGCCCTGGAAGAACTGGTCCTAGCCCTGCCCCGTATAGGCTCCTAACTACTGGACATATAGATGCTTGACACAGTTCTTCCCGTATCAAGGCTGTGACAGAGAGAAGCATGGCTCGGTGGCGGGGGGGGGGGGGGGGGGGAAAAAAGAGGAGGCCCGTGATCCAGTGTAAGGGATCAGGAAAGATCTCCTGGGATGGAGATGGGCGGCATCTGAACCAGATGTTGAAGGGGGAAGTCGGCCAATAGAAGTGGGAGCATGTTCCTACAGCCTGGGCCAGCCCTATGCTAGGCTCTGCCCTGGGGCAGATGGGTAGAGAGAGCTGGGGTGGGGAGCAGGCCTATGGCCTCCTGTGTGTGAAAGTTGAGAAAATAAGAGCTGTCCCATGGCCACCCTCCAGACAATGGCAAGAGTGGCACAGATGTTCCAGGCTGTGGGGGCTCAGCAGAGGGAGGAATCAAGGAGCACTTCTTTGAAGAGGTGGAGCTTGAGCTGGGGAGGAATCCAAAAGGCAGAGAGAAGAAGGCTGCTCCTGATGGAAAGCACTGTGTGTGTGTAAAACCCAAAGGTAGAGATGTGCTGAATCTGGCGGTAAATCAACAGTGAGTTTCAGTTAAGCCCAGGAGGGGGCGGTGTGGGTGGGACCAGAGCACTGAACTCCAGGAAGAGACCCAGATCCTACCCCTTCTCCACCTACCTCTTCAAATGTGCCTCTTTCAGCCTCAGGGTCTCCTGGGAGTCTGAGGACCCATCTACCAGGCCCCCCAAGTGAGGGGAAATAGCCCTTCAACCCTGCTTCATTCTAGAAGAAGTCAACAGCTGGAAGAGATGCAGGGCCACCAGGAGGCTGCAACATGGAGGTGCAGAGGTCCTGTGGCCAGGAGCCTGCCAATCAGTCTCAAGACAGACTGTTCCATGGGTTCTGCTTCCGCCCTCCCAGCTCCATCATTCTGACCTGTGGGTGCCTGGAAGCTGCTGGAGGCCATCTCATGGAGGCATCTCGAACACAGACTTGAGCCTTCAAAAGCTTTGGAAAGGCACCTTCACTGAAGATCTCTGAGGAGGCAGTGAAGGGGATTCCACCACGTACGGCCTCTGTACCTGGTCTTCCCACCCACCCCTTTTCAGCCCCGCCTGTACAGCTCCGCATCCTCTCTGCAACTTTTCCTCGTATGTCCACCACCCCGCCCACCCCACCCCCCTCACTTCTCCTCCAGTCCTTGTTCCCTCCGCTCAGATCTCAGCTTTCCTCCTGTAGAACAATCTAGCCTGCCCTTGGCTGCTGGTGTACCACTCAGACCCTGCACACAAACCAGCCATGACAAAAAAATTGACCTTCTCAGAAGGTAGAGGGGAGAGAGAGCAGGGAAAGGACTGTATAACTTAGTATTTTTCTTTTAGCCTTGTCTCATCTGCAAGGCTGTTGGGCCATGGGGCCCTTCAGAGAAGGACTCCGCCGGAGTTAAAACTCCACAGTCATGTCGGAGAAGTGCTTGCAGCTGGCTGAGGAAGGGGGAACACCAGGCCCAACCCATCTTGGGAATCCATCAAAATGCCCTTCTGAAGAGGCTGCTAATTTGGACAGAAGGAACTTTGATTCTTTGGGTCACAGTGAAAAGATGTGAGGAAATGTCAGAAGAGGTCTAGTCCCTATACAATGCGATGTCATGCCAAGTAGTACAGATATTAGCCACCCTGTGTCTTGTTCCAAGTCTGAGATCAGACCCGTCGGCTGCCAGTCACGGGGGAGTAGGGGAATGGGCGAGCAGAAGGCAGAGGGCCTCTGCCCACAGTGCTGGCTGAGCCCTGTGGAGAGTCCCAGATGACCATCCTAGCAGACTGCCAAGAACTGTGACCCTTTGGTCACTTTTCCAAGACTGGAAATTGTGGGACACAGGTAAATTGCATTCCCAGCTTCCCTTTGTGAGGCAGACTAGCATAAAGGGTAAAGACTCCAGAGCCAGATCACCTTGGTGTTAATCTTGGCTCTACCACTTAGTAGCTGCCTTACTCTGGGCAAGTTATTTAGCCCCTTTGTACCTTAACTTCCCTAGCTGTAAAATGGGAGTAGTAAATCTTGTAGAGTAGCTGTGAGGATTAATATGTACAAAGAACTTAGAATAATGCCTGGAACATAGTAAGCATGCAATGCATGGTATATTATAATGATCTTGCCTTTTGTGCACACAAGTTCCTCCAGAGTCTCTCTCTAGGAATTGGCCTAGGAGGTTTCTGAACAAGGGGCTTTGAGCAGAGGATTTCTCCTTTCCCTTCACCTGGGAGGCAGCTGGTCTTTTAAGAAAAAACAAAAACAAAAAAAACTCAGCACACTTTTTTCAGAACAAGGGCCATAATCCATGAGCCCCAGCTGTTCCTGTAAGAAGGAAAAGTCATTTATTACATGCCAGTACGAGGGACTTCAGGTGCCATTTGGGAAGCTTGAATTGCCCCTTCCTTTCCCCTCCTTTTGCACCCCCCCCTCACTTTAACCCAGAGCACACGCCGTGATGGGGGATCACACTGGGGGTGCCTGCTTGCTGGGGTGGAGACAGAGGGGATATAGACCGAGGTGTGGAGGTAGAGCGTGGTGAGGGGTCGGGGGGGCACATGGGTTCGCAGGGGTCCAAGGTAATTCTCATGGCTTGGGGAAGACTTCCTGGAGGGTACAGCGATCCTTCAGCTGGGGCTTGAAGGATGGATGTAATCAGACTGAAGATGCGAGGGCCATGTTGTTCCTGGTGTGGGGAACAGCACAGCCCAAGGCATGGAGGCTGTTGGAGGATGGATAGGAGGGTTGTGGCCTAAGACCAGGCTGGAGAGTTGGCAGGGCTAGAGAGGCAAAGGCTTGGTGCCAGCCCAGGAAAGCACCAGGGAGCCACGACAATGACAGCGGTGGCCATTCACTGGGCTCTGCAGGGTCTAGGCGTCATACAGGGTGCTGTATACACATTTTCTCATTTAATCCTCACAATACCTCCAAATACAGATGGAGAAACTGAGGCCCAGATGTGGGAATTGGTGTGTCAAGGTCACACAGCCTTTCTCTAACCCAGATGGTAGATGCCCCCCTCCACCTCTCCCATCCTCCCTCCCTTCGCTTCCCTTTCTTCACTTGCCTTCCAAGTGCCCACCTGCCTCAGCCAGTCCCAGTAACTGGGGACCCCCTAGGAAGTTGTGACAGAGACAGCTAAGTGCCAACCACAATATCAACTCTCTTTTAATTGGGCACATGGTCTCCTAGGATGAAAACATCATTTCCCAGCCTTACTCACAGCTCCGTGTGACCAGGTAACTTAATCTTGGGTAATGGGAGATAAGCAAAGTACCCTAAGGCAATTTAATATGGGGAGGGGGTGAATGTCTGTAAAAGAGAGGTAGTGTCTGTCCTTTGCCTCCCCTCCTTTCTTTTTTCTTACAATGGGGACATCACAGCTGGAGCACCATCTTGGACCGTGAGAAACAGCTTGGGTTTCTGACAATTCCGGTTTGGGACCACCTAAATCTGGACTTTTGCACAAGAGAGAAATAAATGTCTATCTTTTCTTTTTTTTTTAAGATTTTATTTATTTATTTGAGAAAGAGAATGAGATAGAGAGCATGAGATAGGGAGCATGAGAGTGGGGAAGGTCAGAGGGAGAAGCAGACTCCCCGCTGAGCAGGGAGCCCGATGTGGGACTCGGTCCTGGGACTCCAGGATCATGACCTGAGCTGAAGGCAGTCGCCCAACCAACCGAGCCACCCAGGTGCCCCAAATGTCTATCTTTTCTAAGCCACAAGTTTTTTGGGCTGTTGTTAGCCACAGCCGAATGAATCCCTTTACTCCTGTTCTATCCTAAGGTGGTAGACCTAGGGGGAGGCCAGGCAGTGTCCTGGACTGGGGTGGGGGCCAGGGTCTAGCCTGGTGACAAGCTAGGAGTCAACAGGGTCTGGAGATACCCAGAAAGGCTTAGAAAAGTTGCAGAGCTTCGGGAGTGGTCATGCTGCTTTTGGCTAGAGGCTGAAGGGGTGGATGGGTTTCCTGAGGGAGAGAGTAAGAAGGAAGGGCCTGGAGAGAACCCTGGGAACTCCATTAAGGGGTTGGGCAGGAAGGGGAGCCAGAGATGTGGCAGGTCAAAGCCTGGGGGTTTCTGAATGATGGTGGCAGGGGAGGTGGGTGAGTGGGGGAGGAAGTGGAGGTGATGGGTGGAGAAGGAAAGAGAGAAGGTTCCCAGGGAGGCCGGGTCCAGGGAAGACACTTCTATGACAGGAGACCTGTGAGTGTTGGCTATTGTAGGTTGAGGACAGGGGAAGGGCCAAACGTGGAGGAGCCAGAGAGTCAGGGACCAGGGTTTGTCCTTTTGGAAAAGCCCAGGGGCACTGGATCCGTCCTAGGAATAGATGCAGCTTTCTCCTCCCTCCCTTATTCATTCGTTTGACACAGATTCTCTCTGCTCCTCCAAGATGGCAATGGGAATCTGGACCCAGACCCTACCCCTCAGAGAGAATCTTGGGGAGGGGTGAGGGTAGAGACAAGGAAAGAGTTCAACCACTAAACAACATTTATTGAGCACCTACTATGTGCCAGGCATCATGCTGAGCAGTGGGTCCCTGCCCTCAGGGAGTTCCTAGTCTGATGGAGGAGAACGGCAATAATGAAATAAACATAACCCTGGATCATTACAGCAGGGGAGGAGAGCTTAGAAGAACATAAAGAAGGGTAGGGGGCAGGGCACTTGGGTGGCTCAGTCAGTTGAGCTTCTGACTCTTGGGGCTGAGCATCTGACTCTTGGTTTTGGCTAAAGTCGTGATCTCGGGGTCATGGGA